GATACTTTATTGTTTTCTTTTTTTCTTAATTTCATTATGCTAGGCTAGATCTATATGTAGTTAGGGGCATATGGACCCCATTGGATTCTTTATGTTTATTAGTTAAATTGTCTCTAAATTCTTCTCTTTCTATAATTGATTGAATTTATTTGTTGTTAATGCTTTCTATGAGTTTGCTCCTTGTAGAATGATTTAGGGGAATTGCATGGCAATATGAATGTTGATGTATGAACCCTGATTGGATATATTCATCATAATCCTTGTGATCGAGGGATAGACATAGGGCAATTATGTAATCTTTAGATTCTTAATCTTAATACATGTTTTCTTGCAAAATAACCGGGGAACTAGGGTTTTTTCAAGATCACATAGAATTAGGGTAACAAGGGATTGAGCCCTAATTAAATTAGAAAAGAATTTATTGTCATTATTTTAGGAGCAGTTTCTTAAATAGTTTTTCTCATAACATAAAGAGGATAATGAGGGAAGTCGAACCCTAACTACGCTTATTCTTTATTGTCAAAACAAATCTTTTTAATTGCTTTCTTTAATTCTTACTTTGTATAATCTTAATTATTTTTAATTTTAATTCTCTTCATCTCAATTTTGATTGTCCAACTAAACCGCAATCAATGAACTATTGTTAGAAAACCAATCCTCGTGGGAACGATCTCGTACTCAGGTACACTTTATTACTTAACGATCGATGCACTTGCCAGTCGCAACACCCATCAAGAGAACCTGAAATGCAGACAAGTGGAGGTCTTACTACAGTTGAGCATTCGGGGTGACAAGTTGGCTAGGCTTCTAAAGCTATGAAACCCAATGCTAGTTTTATTTAGGAGATTTCCATTTACTTCTTACTTTTGCTTTCAATTTCGCTTTTCAAGTTTCTACTTAGGCGATTTTCTTTTCTTTATCTTAGGACATAAATGTAAGTCCTTTATGATAACGCAATGTACCTCTATCAATCTATCATTTTCAGTAAAGGACAAATTTGTCACCAAGTCTCTTGACAATCTTATTGAAGATCTTAGCCACGAACTCGGATCCCAATATCAAGGGCCCGACAACACGTGTCGGCCCAACAATTCAATCTAGATTCTGAATCATAGGCCGAATCTAGGGACTTCCATCGAAGGGCAAAAAAGAGTGGCCAAACAAATTAAGTCGCCCTCAAAATCTGGCTCCACGATACGCCAAACCCAGTTATGGTTCATAACCTGAACCCATCGAGGCCGAATAATGCCTGAAAATATTGCGACACTCTATGCCAAAATGTCAATGCATACGACAAATACAAAAAATTAAAAGTAGAAAAATTTGAAGGTAAAACAACAAATCTTAAAGAAATATAATCGAGTATTGTTGATGCGGGAGTAACACCCTTGATAAATGCAAGTGCATATTGCCAACAAGTAATATAGGACTGTGAGTTCAGATATTGTTCCCACTGAGATGATTTATAAAGTGTGATCATTTAAGTAAAGAAATAGAGAAGAATGAAGAAGCTTTGATCCTTATGATTGATTTTCTAAAATAAAGGACTAATAAACGAAAAACTAATTAACTAGACTAATTAAATGAATGAAAACAACAAGCTAACTACTCAACAAGGGTCTAGATTACGAAACCTCTCGGCCTTACAACATATATCATATATGTACCTCTCGGTATGCACACAAGAATGAAACAAAGCATACTCATTGAATAACTAATTAAAAATTAACAAAGACTAAGTTTAGGCATCCATTACAACATAGGTACTCTTTCACCCAACCTAAGAAATATTTAGCTCATGATGAAAATAAAGAAGAAAGAAGAAGAGAATCCATAGAAACATGTTTAGAAAAATATAACCATCTATTGTATCAGAATTTTGGCTCAGCTCTATGCACAAGCTTTGCCTTAGCAATGCTATAGCACGAATCTGCTCTGTATATTCAAACTTTTGTAAACTTCTCTCTCTCTCTCTCTCTAGGGTTCCCTCCCTCGGGCTTGAACCCCTTTACTATCTCTCGATTGGTGGGGATGTAAATCTGAATGTGAAATCATGTGGAAAAGTCTCCCAAAAGCTCCCAAAGGAGCTCTGAGCTCTCTTGAGCGTCAAAAAGCTACCTTCAATGTGTGATGAAGTCCTCTTTATATAAGAAGTGTGGGTTATAACTTGGGCCTCAAGTTTAAGGAGCAAAATCCTAATTGATTCAAATTCAGCTGCAGCAGCATTATCTTTTCCTTATTTCTTATCCAATTAAGAAATGATGTGTTAGTCATTAGTTAAGAAGAATGTTGACAAAAGTCAATAAAGCATAAAGTGAAATTTGATTAAGTGAGTTAATCACAAGACACTTAGGCATTTAATCATCTCCATCATTGGTTCTCCCTCTCCCAAACTGTAAGACACCATTGTTAACCCTCTTGTGCGCTTGAAAACCTAGCTTCTTTCATAGGCTATGAAACACTTAGCTTTTGGAATGAAAAGTGCATAGAATCTCTTCGTTAGCATAACCTACCGATTGATTTTCCTTGAGAGACCTTAATGAATGAGAGATCATCATTTAAAGTTTGGAGTTATTTCAAGTTCTTGGTGATTCAAGAGTGTTTTGATCTCTTTGAGCTCGACAAATCATCTCCTCTTCATTCTAGGATCATTGGTGGTGAGTAAACTCCATTGTAACCTAGTTTTCATGTTGATTTATAAAAGTTGATTTTTCACATGAATAGTGCCACGAAAATCAAATTTGTGGGAAGGATTTTGAGGAGTCTTGATGGTTGTTTTTCATGTCTTAAAATTATAAAGATGAGCCACATGATGGTTTGGTAGTCGAAGATCCATTGGAGTTGTCATTTTGTTGAAAACCTATTTCTTGAAATACCATTGAAGAGGTAAGTTCATGACTTAGTGTTTTGATAAACTTCCTAGCCATTGACTTAGTAATTTTTGTGATGTTTGTGTTAATTATCATCTTTACATATTTGCACTAGGTTGTCCTTGTGTTGGAAGTGTTGATTGTTTGCATTAAAGAGACAAAAAGAGTAGAATACGGAAGTTCTACAACAGGTAAACTTCTAGACTTTGGGTTTCAGCCCCTTGTGTGTTCCACCATGCTCCCTTGGAGAGGAATGGTGTTATATGGTGCATTATGATGTTAAGCCTTGTATGATGCATGATAGACAAAATAGAAAGTAGACAAAATAATAGAAAGTAGACAGAACAGAATAGAAGATAAATAGAGCTCTTCTTTGGGGATTTATCCTTTGGGATAGCCCTTAGAGGTATACCATCCTTTGGGATAGCCTTTGGTAAGGTATTTATGCAGCCAGTCCTTCCAAATCCAGCCAATCGTTTCAGGGCATGCAACTCAACACCTAGGCCAACGAAACAAATCTGGACCTCGTCTGGAAGTCACAACCCTGCTAAGGCACTTCATGGGAGACGGTCCAGTCAACTGGTTAGTCACACCAGTGACTAATAACCCAATGAGCTAGCTGACCTATGTCTGGCCAAACCAAGACTCGTTCATAAGATATACTGCACAAGGCGGCTCAAAGGCTTAATGCCAATACTATCAAAGAGAACCTCAACCACAAGTACTCTGGCAACACCCGAGGTCCACCAAAACAAAAACATTGCAGTCTAGAAGTCCGAGCTCTCAGACCGTCGGACTGGGGGGAAACTTTTCGGGACACATCCTATGGGCCCATAGTTTCAAGAAGCAACAACCCAAGATAAATAACAAATTAAAGAGATAAGAGATACGATTTTTTATTCTATGCTTAAGGGATAAGCGATAAGGCTACTTATCCTGTCCCCCAACAATCCCACTCCTATCAGGACTCTACACCTATAGGTTAACTCTTCCATAAATAAAGGGCTAAGTCTCTCAGGTACATACTTTGAACTCCTTACTCTCTTAGTTGTCACTGTGCACACCCCACGCCTTTGGTTATATGCCAATATTATCGTGCACAGTGATTTGTTACCCCTTGCGACGTCTCTTCCAAAAACTCATGATCGTACTAATCCAAGACACAAATACTAACCTCCGATTAGACATTCCCAGTCCTCCCGAATTGACCATATAAGATCTTATCATAAGCTTGAAATTTGAATTAATGATAAGGATCTTAATTTAAATTTTGAAAGCTTGAAATTTAAATTGTAAATTTAAGTTTTATTCTCATCTTAATTAGACTAAGATAGTTCTTATCCTAAAAGGTTTGATTTGATCAAAAACTTTTTAAAAAGTGGTCATAGATTTTGAATTCAAACTTGTTGGATTCAAATTCAACTCTCATGAAGGAGGGAGTCATGGTTCTGTCATGACTCTTTGGATTCTTCATTTTAGGAATCCAAATGAGGCTAGGCACATCTGAGCCTAAGCTAAGGCAGTCGCACATCTCCTCTTTTCTCATTCCTCTCCACACATTGCACTCCAAGTTACACAATCATAGTAGCTTGGATCCCGAGTAAACACCATAGAGTAGGTGGCCACTTCTTGTTCAATTAGCGAGTGACCAAGCCAAAGAGAACATCCTACGAGGTGTTCTCCCAAGCCATCAAGCATTAGTGTGAATTACCATTGGAGGGTACACACGTCTACACCATGATCAAGGTTTGAATCCCTAATAACATACAAATATACGACCTTTGTTTGACCACATGTTCATATTTGAAAAGTACATGCTTCCTTCACGAATTTTATTGAGTTTCGAATTAAATGATATGCATATGTATTTCCGCAAAACAAAAACTACGTTTTTTATTTGCATACACGCGACCATACAAGGATAAGATTGCAATTTTACCTAACTTCCAAACCTAGTACACTCAATTTCTGTCAATGAATCACATGTGAAAGCCCATTGAAAAGGAGACGGGTAAAGGGTCAAATGGGGGGAAAGGAGGGAAGAAAGATGAGAGTCAAGAAAAAAAAAAAACATTGTTGAATAATCCCATACACCAAAGTTAGATTCACTGCATTAACAAATTTCGCTTGTCACTAACATTTTTTTTATTACTATTATCATCAAACATTTATCGTTCATGATACTATAACAACTCTCTTCATCTAAGCTAATATACTGACTTCATTTTAATTTGATGTGGACGACCAATGCATGTGATAATATTAATATTACATAACAAGTGGGTAGAAATTTCGAAATCGCGCGTAAGGGCTGCTTCTAAAGTTGACTGTCACTAAAGTTGACCGGTGACAGCTTTTTAGTAATAGACTATACAACCTTTGAAGCCTTTTCTAAGGGCAGTTTCATCCAAATTCCTTCCAATGAACACGAGCTTGTTTATCCTCTTCTCGTGAGGTTCCCATGTTTTTCCTGGGCAGCCATCGAATATGGAATGCACTCCCTAAAAGTAATTGGGAAGATGGGGTAAGAGCATCAAGGCAAATTTGAGTTCAACTAAAAAGTTTCAGATAGGTAATAGAAGCATGAGAACGTGTAAAAGAGAACCTGAAATACATATCGTTGATCCGAACCATCCACTGACAAGACACCCTTCATTCTGTATAGGTCCTCTCCTTTTTCTTCAATCACTCTCTCAAGCCAATCATCAACCTAGACCATCGTTTAATGCCAAAGTGAGGGAACATGATTAGTGCTATCCTGATTAACACATTGCAGAATGATTATCATAACATTATTATAACCCAGTCCAATGACAGCTTTACCAGGTTGGAAGAACATTTTATATGGTAAAAAACAATCTATATCACCCAAGATAAAAAGGAAATACAAATAACATTATGAACAGACTTCAAAGGAAAATTCACATACCAGATGCATTTAACACAGCACAAAAATTAAAAACACAGCTACTTTATGACCCCAGATGTAGCACCGCCCAAGCAAGAATGTATAAGAAAGATTTTGAACCATTATTCAAAAAGCAAATTCAGAACCCAACAATTTTATATTGAATAATCGTTACAAACATGACAAACCATTTAGAAATCAAAAAATTTATTAATATGGAATTCCTGTTTAAACTCCGCCCATGTGTGCTTGCATGCATGGCCTGTCCCAAGCCAGGATAAAGGAGGAGGGTTGGCGTCAGGTGTTGCGAACCGGCCATAAAAAACAGCTACATTTTTATGTGATGAACCTATATGATATTTCGTTGGGGCGTACCCTTCATAGCGACGCGTTGCATCGAGCCCCGGGTGTAGCGAAAAATGGGCTAGGGTCCTTGCCACAAGGCAAAGCGCTGCATCGGGCCCGAGGTGTAGTGAAAAGTGGGCTAGGGTCCTTGCCCCAAGGCAAGACGCCAGGTCTTCACCCGGATTTGGTGAGAAGTATGCCAGGGTCCCAACACGCAGATGGGCGAGCGTGGCGTGCAAGCACAGCTCAGGGGTTAAGGATGAGATTGGGAAGCTGGAACATAGGAACCTTAACGGGTAAATTGAGGGAGTGACAGATGTTTTTGCTAGAAGGAAAGTGAATATTGTTTGTTTGCAAGAAACTAAGTGGGCTGGAGAAAAGGCCAAGGAAGTGGATGGAACTGGTTTCATGTTATGGTACACAGGTACTAACAAGAGTCGAAATGGTGTTGGAATTATGATCGATAGAAGTTTCAGAGATAAAGTTGTGGACGTCAAAAGGAAAGGCGACAGGATTATTCTGGTTAAGCTTGTTGTGGGTGATTTAATCCTGAATATCCTCAGTGTGTATGCACCCCAAGTTGGATTGCAACCTATTGATAAAAGCCAATTTTGGGAAGACTTGGAGGAGGTTTTGCGGGGAATACCTCGAGAGGAGAAGATTTTCTTAGGAGGAGATCTAAATGGTCATGTTGGTAAAAGCAATGGAGGTTTTGATAGAATTCATGGAGGTTTTGGCTATGGGACGAGAAACGAGACTGGAGAAGATATCTTGAATGTTGCATTGGCCTACGATTTGATGCTAGTGAACACCTTTTTTCGAAAAAGGGAGTCACATCTAATCACTTATCATAGTGGCCAAAATCGTAGTCAGATTGATTTCTTTCTAGCTAAAAGAGAAGATAGAACTTCTTGTGTCGACTGTAAGGTCTACCCTGGAGAGTGTGTCGCTACACAACATGAGCTGGTAGTCTTGGATGTTCGGTTCAACAAAGTATTACAATGAGGAAAAAGGGCTCAGAACCCAAGGATAAGGTGGTGGAAGCTTAAGGAGGGAAAAAAGAGAGAGTTCAATGAAAGAATGTTGCAAGAAGGACCTTGGGAGTTTGATGGAGGAGTAAATGCAATATGGAATGAGATGGCTCAGTGTATTCAAAATATGGGAAGGAGGGTGTTGGGAAAAAGCAAAGGAAATGGATTTCATACAAAGGAAACATGGTGGTGGAATGGAGAGGTGCAAGAGGCAATTAAACATAAGAAGGAGTGCTTTAGATCTTTGCATAAAAATCCCAGTGAAGAGAACTTGCAAAAGTTTAGATTGGCGAGAAAAAATGCAACGAAAGCACTGCGAGAAGCTAGAAGCAAGGTTTTCGACGAGTTGTATAAAAATCTTGGGAGCAAGGATGGTGAAAGAGGTATTTATAAACTTGCAAAAATAAGGGATAAGAAAAGTAAAGACCTCACCCAAGTTAGATGCATCAAGGATGAAAATCAAAAACTTTTGGTGAGGGATGAAGATGTGAATGAAAGATGGTTAAACTACTTCAACAAGCTGTTTAATGGGGATGGAGATACAAGCGAGGTGGACTTGGAGGACGCGTATGATGATATGAATAGAAGATTTGTGCGCAAAATTAATACACATGAAGTTAAGGAGGCTTTAAAGAGGATGAAGACTAATAAAGCCTTGGGGCCTGATGGTGTCCCTATTGAAGTGTGGAGAGGACTGGGGGATGTGGCAATAAAATGGTTAACCAATCTTTTCAATAAGATTCTCCAGACAAATAAGATGCCTGATGCATGGAGGAAAAGTATGATTGTGCCTATCTACAAAAACAAGGGAGATATACAGAATTGTTCAAACTATAGAGGCATTAAGCTAATGAGCCATACTATGAAGTTGTGGGAGAGGGTTATTGAACATCGCTTGAGGAGAGATACCAAAGTTTCTGTAAATCAATTTGGATTTATGCCAGGAAGATGTACCATGGAAGCCATTTTCTTGATGCGACAACTAATGGAAAGATACCGTGAAAAGAAGAAGGACTTACATATGGTGTTCATAGACCTTGAGAAAGCATACGATAGGGTTCCAAGGAAAGTTTTATGGTGGGTTCTAGAGAGAAAAAGGTCCCATCAAAGTATGTAACGGCAATCAAGGATATGTATGATGGGGCTACTACATGTGTAAAAGCTTGTAACGGAACATCAAGCTATTTCCCTATCACGGTAGGTGTACACCAAAGGTCGGCTCTAAGTCCTTATCTCTTTGCCTTAGTTATGGATGAACTAACAAAAGATATTCAAGAGGAAGTGTCATGGTGTATGCTTTTTGCAGAGGATATTGTGCTTATTGATGAGAGCAAGGATGGTGTTAATAGAAAACTTGAATTGTGGAGAAGCACATTGGAATCCAAAGGGTTCACATTAAGTCGAAGCAAGACTGAGTATCTGAAGTGTGATTTTTCTCTGGTACGAGATGGGGACCAAGATCCCGTGCATCTAAGTGGTCAAGAGGTACCCAAAAAAGATGCTTTTAAATACCTGGGCTCCATTTTGCAAAAAGGTGGAGAGATTGATGAGGATGTAAATCATAGAATCAGAGCAGGGTGGATGAAATAGCGCAGTGCATCTGGGTTTTTGTGTGACCGCAAAATCCCCCTTAAGTTAAAGGAAAATTCTATAAAACAACAGTAAGACCAATGCTATATGGAGCGGAATGCTGGCCAGCACATAGGCAACATGAGCATAAGATGGGAGTAGCAGAGATGAGGATGTTAAAATGGATGTGTGGTTATACAAGGATGGATAAGATAAGAAATGACGATATTCGATGAAAGGTAGGAGTTGTACCGGTAGCCGAGAATATGAGAGAACATAGATTGAGGTGGTTTGGACACGTGATGAGAAGGCCCCTGGATGCTCCTGTAAGAACAGAAGTTTGTTACCAAGAGTTCAACACAAAAAGAGGCAGAGGTAGACCGAAACTGACTTGGGGGAAGGTCGTAAAACAAGATTTAATGGAGTGAGATATAGATTGGCGGACGGTATGTCTTAGAACGGAATGGAGAAAAGCTATAACTATGGTGGAGGGTTAGACCCGTTGTTATTCCTATGTTCCAGATGGTCCCTTTTTAGTCTTTTTCCCCTTCATTTCCCCCACTTCTTCTTTTCCCCTTTCTTTTTTACCTTTATTTATTTATTTATTTATTTATATATATATATATATATATATATATATATATATTATTACTATTTTTTTATTTTTTTTAAACCGTTTTGTATCTTTCATATGGGTTCATCTACCACCGACCCCAATTAATTTGGGATAAAGGTGATGTTGATGTTGATGGAATTCCTGTTAACTTAATCATTTTGACTCATTCGAGCTTGGAGCAGTGATAAAGTTGTTCCTTTGTGACTGAAAGGTCATGGGTTCGAATTCGGAGAACAGCCTCTTTGCAATTATACAAGAGTAAGGATGCGGACAAGAATTGCCCTCCCTCTACTATCGCTAGTCGGGTTTTAATGGGGAGTAATTTTTTTTAATCACCTTGACTCATTGAGGTCCAAACATTAATGTCCCAAAATAAAAATAAAATAAAAAAATAGGGCCAATTGGTGGATGAAATAACACAGGAAGATGTGGCACAAGCAATGGACTAAAATCATCAAAAGAAGCACCAAAGATGTAAACGTTGAAGCATTAAGTGTGGAGTCTACAGAAAGCAATCCAGTGATTTAAGACAAATTATTATGTTAAGGGTTCCAAAAGGAAAGAAAAAAAAAAGAATTTCAATTACCTCATCGAGATCAAGAGTTCCCTCTGCAACAATACTGACACTTGAAACAGTAGAATCATGCACATGATCATGATGACGATGCCCTTTGTGTTCTGTAGATACATTCAGAATGAAGTAATGCAGAGAAATCATAAGGAAACAAAATGAGCATAAATACTTTGGAAATATATTTTATTAATCAAGCCAAAAAAAGCCTTTTTTCTTATTCCAAAATTTTAGGCTGAATTGGTTAGCACAGAAAGGTTTATTTGTATTGTAGTTATTTACTTAACTGAATAGGCATGCATTGGATGGGTATTATACAGAAACTTTGTTTTGTACAAGACCCAATTTCAGTTTGATAATATGTAATTTTGCATGTGTTAGCACTAATAAGAACAATGCTTATGTTATTTGGGACTAGTCAAAATAAATAAATAAACTGAGTCTGTGACGTATCTGTATGATTATTGTTCCTTGCATCTCCCATAGCTATTGCATAATTATTTAGTATAAAAATAAAATAACCAACTTAGCATAGAAATTAAGATAATGTAAGTAACATTTCCTATTAGATCGATGGGTGTTACAGCTAGAGAGAGATTGAACTTGAGAGAAAGGAGAAGAGAGAACAAAACACTTAACTACACATAGAAGCTGAGATAGAAATGTTTTGTAATTACCACAAAGGCCAATTAACCATGCCTTACAAGCTTCAACCTAATCTAGTCTGAATAGAATACAAATGCTTATACTATCCTATCATAGTTTGAGTTAAAGTGCACTACTTCTACGCTATGAAGCACCGATACTCCGAATTTTTTTTTCCAACGTATCCGATACGCGTATTGGAAACGTATCGGAAACGTATTGTATCGTATCGACGAATTAACGGTCGTATCGAGAACATATCGAGAACGTATCGAAAACGCCATGTCGGAGTCGGTGCTTCATAGCTTCTACGTAAGTCAAAGATTAAACACTTAGATTCATTTATCACATAATATAACAACATTATGGTAGAAATTAAAAAAAAAATAGACATGACTTTAAATAGTAATACACTAAGTTTACAAGACAAGGCTTCTAAATGGAAGACATCCACTTCATTCTTTACTATTTCTGCTTTAGTATTTTAAGAACAGAAGGATCTAGTATAATGCAATGGCAGTATTTGTGTCATGATAAATGAAATTCAATCAAATCCACGTAATCCAACAACACCACCCTCTGTCTTCCATTAGAATATCATTGTCCTTATATTGCAGCCAACTCTAGCAACCAGTTGAAAAGATATAAAATGTGGGAACAGGGTTTAGAAAGAGTACCATGTCCAGAGTCATCGTGATGGCTTGCAGTAGGACATTCTCCATGTACCTCAGATTCAATTCTGCAATATCAAGGCATTTTGATTGAAAACACAGATAAATTAGCAGCAAATACAGATAGATGTACAAATATGCATTATGATTTGTCATACTTATAGCCATTATTTAGGAAGGAAAAGGGAAGATAGCAGGAAGGGATGTATCGAGTACTATAATAGGAATATTTCAAAAGATACAAAGTACATGAATACCTATTACCTCTCAAGATCATATCCTCCCACACCCAGAACAAAGTCTATGTCGACAGATCCAAATTTAGCTTGCTTAATTTGTGCCATTCCATTGATATTCTGGCAACAATCCACAAAAATGAAGAACTTCTTCCATAAGCATTTTTTCTTGGGGAGCCAAGGACATCCATACACAATGCTATAGAAGCTGATAAAAACAATATAAACAGAAATAAAAGGACAATAGTCTGATACATTTCATAGAAAATGAATGGAGTTTCTCTCTCTCTCTAAAATACACACACTCATCATATCATAACAGCATAAAAATGCCAAACATCTACCATAATAGTTCATACATGTTTAATGCATTTTTCCCTAGATTAAGAATTAAAATTCAATACAAAACTAAAGATTCGTTCTATCAATATTGGAAAAGTCAGCAGGAGAGAAGAAGTATTAGTCGCCAAGAAGAACAAGGTTTAGGTACAAAACATTCAATAATTAATCCTGTTAGAAATGATTAGATATGATTAGTCTGATTAGATATGATTAGTCTATAATTATTTTGATTGTATTAGGTCTGGGTCTTTCCTATAAGCCCATTAGAGTCTCTATATATTGTAACTCTCTGAATTAAATCAATACATAACATATTATTTTATATTCAAGTTGGTACCAGAGCTCTTTCGTTCTGGGGACCCTCGCTTCCGCTCAGAAACCTTATTTTCGCCTTAAAACCTAAGCCCACTGCTTAGGAGTCATCTTTTCTTTGTCGTGCGTCCTTCTAGCAAGACATCAAGGACTGTAAGTCCCTTCCAAGCAATTTCCGAACGCGTCAGCACCTCTGACGGTCACCAGAACCACCGTCCGCCACCGTCAGCCACTGTTCAGGCCGTCGGAGCACTTTTCCGGCAAGTTTTCAGCTCGGTCAGAACGCAATCAGAACCCTCACGCGCGGCCAAGTCGCGCGTCCTCACGCGCGGCTGAGCTTCTCTGTGCGCGGTCCTCACGCGTCGCGTCTCACCGGCGCATGAGCACTGTTCTGGTGGACTTTTCCGGTGAAACCAGCACAGACAGACTCGCACTTCTCTCACCTTTCCAGATCTGTGGTCCTTTTGTCGTGGGTCTCTTCCGTTGAGAAGATATCGGACAAAAGCATTTTGTTCCATAGCCGTTGGTCTCTTTCCGGCACTATTCCGTACGTTTGGACACTTTCCAGCACTGTTCCGTACGTTTGGTCATTCTGATTATTTATTTTTTGCGTGATTTCTTGTGAGTTTGCAGTTCTTTGCTTTTATCTGGTCATTCTTTTTATATTTTTGAGATGGAAGGCTTAGGTAGTACATCCAAAAACATTACCAGTACTACCCCCTCCATTACAACGATCAAACTGACCGGAGCTACTACTTACAAGACCTGGTCTACCTCAGTTAAGATCTGGTTTACTGGTCAGGGATACGGTCAACATCTCACAACTAAGTCTCCCACGGATCAGGCATCTGACTGGGAAAAGATTGATGCTCAACTCCTAAGTATCATTTGGCAGTCCATTGATCCGACACTTATAGACATTTTCATCTCCTTTGAGACCTGCAATGACGTATGGGAGGAAGCTAAAAACCTGTACACCAATGACATTCAGCAGCTTTATTCCATTGTGTCTCAGATAATGGAATTGCGCAAATCTCCGGAGTCTCGAATGGAAACTTATATTGGTAAGATTCGTTCTTTGATGCAAGAATTCTTAGCTATGTTACCTCATGCTACAGATGCCACTGCGTACAAGAAGCAGGTGGAGCGCTTCTTTATGGTCGTAACCCTCTCTGGTCTTTCCGAGGAGTTAGAAAGTGTTCGTGAGAATATTCTAACCAGTGCTGAGACTCCTAGCCTGTCACACACTTTCCAGCGCCTTCTGAATCTTAAGGATAAATCAACAGCTCCCACACGTGTGCCAGCTACCGATTCCACTGCATTCTTTTCTCGCTCCAATGATTCTTGGAACAGTGGACGCGGTCGCGGACATGGCCGTGGACAGGGTGGCCGCGGACAGAGGCCTCGTTGCAATTATTGCCAGAATCTTGGACACTTTAAAGAACGCTGCTACAGGAAGTACCCTCACTTGAAACCACCGGCTGCCAACTTTGCTTAGACTGATGTTACACCACCTTCCGCTGGATCAGTAACTCTTTCCAGTGCCGAATATGAGGCACTTCTCAAGAAGGTTTCCTCTCAGCATCCCACTCAAGACACTGGTAATCAATGTTGCTTGCCTTTCTCAATCATCTCTTGGACCCTGGATAATAGACTCAGGTGCTACTCATCACCTTTGTGGTAATAAGGATCTTTTCACTTCACTTTCTTATTCTAATAATTTACCCTCTGTTACTCTTGCTGGTGGCACTAAGGCTCCTGCTCGTGGAATTGGGGAAGCCAACCCAACTCCCTTTTTAGCTTTGACCTTTGTTTATTATATACCCGGCATTCCTTTTAATTTAATCTCTGTTAGCCAGTTGATTCAGTCTCTTTCATGCACTGTTACCTTCTCTAAACAATCCTTCTCTATGCAGGATCCGGGTACGGGAAAGACGATAGGAGCGGGCATTGAGTCACGAGGTCTTTACTATCTGATTGCACCACCTTCTCCAGTAGCATGTTCAGTCACAGAGTCTCCTGAGCTACTTCACAGTCGTCTGGGTCATCCAAGCCTCTCCAAGCTTCAGCATATGGTTCCTTTTTTATCTAGTCTTAAGTCTTTAAATTGTCAGTCTTGTCAGCAAGGAAAGCACACTCACTCCTCCTTTGCTAATAGAGTCAATAAAAGAGCTGATGCTCCCTTTTCTATTGTTCATTCTGACATTTGGGGTCCGAGTCGAATAATATTTGTTTTGGGTTTTCAGTATTTTGTCACCTTTATTGATGATTTCTCTCGTTGTACTTGGGTTTATTTAATGAAAAATCTTTCTGAATTATTTTCAATTTATCAAAAAATTTGTGCTGAAATAACTACTCTATTTGGTGCTTCTATTCAAATCCTGCGCAGTGATAATGCAAGAGAATATGTGTCTTTTGAATTTTCTAATTTTTTGGAGAAACGTGGAACGATACACCAGATCACTTGCCCACACACTCCACAACAAAATGGAGTGGCTGAACGTAAAAATAGACATCTGATTGAAACTGCATGTACCCTACTAATTCACATGAATGTTCCACTCCGATTTTGGGCAGATGCTATAATCACCTCTTGATTTCTCATCAATCGCATGCCCTCTTCCGTACTTAATAATGAAGTGCCACATAGTGTTTTATTTCCATAAGCACCTTCCTATCCTCTACCTCCACATGTATTTGGATGTACGTGCTTTGTTCATGATCTTACTCCAGGTAAAGATAAATTAGCATCCAAAGCTTTCAAGTGTGTTTTCGTTGGATACACTTGTTTTCAAAAAGGGTATCGTTGTTATTCTCCTGATCTCAAGCGTTATATTGTTTCGGCTGATGTCACTTTCCTTGATCAACAACCTTTTCATTCTATCCCGTCTCAGATAACACAAGTTGATCATGTTCTTCCTGTTCCTCGTCTTGATTTGTCTTTACCAGTTGCAGATGACTCTATCCCGGAGGAGCTACCCCTTGCCTCCATCCCTGAGGAACATCCTTTTCTCACCTATCAGCATCGTCAGCCTGCGCCTCTAGTAGATTTGACTCTTACTGACTCACCGCCTGCTCCAGTCGACTCTTCCCCTCTGGATCCTCCATCAGATATTACTCCCATTGCCCTTCGCAAAGGTATTCGATCCACTCGCAACCCTCATCCACTTTATAGTTTCTTGAGTTATGATAGACTTTCTTCACCACATTTTACTTTTGTATCTAGTCTTTCGTCTGTTTCTATTCCTAAAACCACAGGTGAAGCACTATGTCATCTGGGTTGGCGTCAGGCGATGATCGATGAAATGCAAGCACTTCACTCCAATGGCACCTGGGATCTTGTTCATGCTCCTCCCGGAAAGTCAGTGGTCGGCTGTCGATGGGTGTTCACTGTCAAAATTGATCCTGATGGCACTGTTGATCGCCTCAAAGCTCGTTTGGTGGCCAAAGGTTACACTCAGATATTTGGTCTTGACTATGGGGATACTTTTTCTCCTGTTGTCAAGATGGCATCTGTCCGCCTATTTCTTACCCTTGCTGCTGTTCGTCACTGGCCACTCCTTCAACTTGACATCAAAAATGCCTTTCTTCATGGTGATTTGCATGAAGAAGTTTACATGGAGCAACCACCTGGTTTTGTTGCTCAGGGGGAGTCTGGAAAAGTGTGTCGTCTTCAAAAATCCTTATATGGTCTCAAGCAGTCTCCTCGAGCATGGTTCAGTCGCTTCAGTTCTGCCGTTCAGGCGTTTGGCTTAATCCGCAGTAAAGTTGATCATTCTGTATTTTATAGGATTACATCTCCTGACAAGTGCTTCTATTTGTTAGTCTATGTTGATGACATCATTCTCGCTGAAAGTGATCAAGACGGAATTCGTCAGTTAAAACAGCATTTATTCAGTGCATTTCAAACAAAGGACCTTGGGAAGCTGCGTTACTTCTTGGAAATTGAGGTAGCGCAATCTAGACAGGGCATTTCTATTTGTCAAAAGAAGTATGCCTTGGATATCCTCGAAGAAACTCGTATGTTGGGGAGTAAACCAGTTGATACACCCATGGATCCTAATGTCAAGTTATTGCCCGGACAGGGGGAGCCGTTATCTGATCCTGGACGTTATCGGAGGCTAATTGGGAAGCTCAATTATCTTACTGTGACTAGGCTAAATATTTCTTTCGCTGTTAGTACGGCTAGTCAGTTCCTTGATTCCCCTTGTGATTCACATTGGGATGCTGCTGTGAGGATCCTCCGATACATCAAAGGAGCACCAGGAAAAGGGTTGTTGTATTCAGATCAGGGAAATACAGAAATTTGTGGTTATTCAAATGCTGATTGGGCAGGATCACCCTCGGACAGGCGCTCTACTTCTGGCTATTGTGTCTTCTTTGGAGGAAACTTAATTTCGTGGAAGAGCAAGAAACAACCTGTAGTTGCTCGGTCTAGTGCAGAAGCTGAGTATCGTGCAATGACAAATACTACCTGTGAGTTAATCTAGTTAAAGCAGTTGATTCAGGAACTTCATCTTTGTGAACAGAAACAACCCATGACACTCATCTGTGATAATCAAGCTGCGCTACATATATCCTCTAATCTTGTCTTTCATGAGAGGACTAAACATATAGAAATTGATTGTCACTTCATTCGAGAAAAGATTCAATCAGGAGAAATCAAGACTGCTTTTGTCAACTCCTCTGATCAACTCGCGGATGTCTTCACTAAAGCTCTTAGAGGTCCTCGGATTCAATACATTTGTAACAAGCTTGGTGCTCACAATATATACGCACCAGCTTGAGGGGGAGTGTTAGATATGATTAGATATGATTAGTCTGATTAGATATGATTAGTCTGTAATTATTCTGATTGTATTAGGTCTGGGCCTTTCCTATAAGCCCATTAGAGTCTCTATATATTGTAACTCTCTGAATTAAATCAATACACAACATATTATTTTATATTCAAGTAATCCAATCTAACAAAGAATCCCCATCCATTCACCAAATGAAATTTATAATATAATCATAAAATAAGGAGTCATCTACGGCATGGTGGACTCTAAACGAAATTTGTATGGAAACTGGTGTACATATGTCCATTTCATGAACCCAGCTTGATGATTGAACATGTCATGTTCTTTCTGCAATATAACTCTATTACCTTCCTAGCTCAATTAAACAATACAATGTCTAGAGGATCCATAAGCAACAAAAACATACCTGAATTTTCTTAGTCAATATATTTAACTCAGATTCAGTAACTAAATCTATCTGCAAAAACAATTAAAAATGATCAGAACCTAGAAACACAGATTAACACACTTTAGTGGTCAATACTGGAACAAAAAGTTGAAGAACACAAAAATACTATCAAAGAATCTTAAAACCGGAAGCGTACCTTGTTCAAAATAATACGGTCAGCATATGCAACTTGTTCGACTGCCTCATTCACCACGAATCTTGGTTTCACTTCATTTAAATGTCGCATGGCATGCTTACAATCAACCAAAGTCACAACTCCATCCAGTTTTACATACTGAGAAACTAGTTCATCACTGCAAAAAGTTTCAATAACAGGAGCTGGCTTTGCAAGACCTGCAAAAGGGCTTAAAGTTTGAACTTTAGAATAATATGTTCTATTCAACATTTCATACACCTAACAGATGCAGTTAATAAGAGAACACACAAATTTTTGTCACACCCTCAACTAAATAGCCATACATGTGAAAGACTAAAAAGCTTTCGAACAAAGTTTGAGAACCATGAAGAAGAGTCCCAAATAGATTTTTTTTTTTTTTAAATGATCCCTAAGAGGTTTTTAAGCACCAGACTAGAACTAAAATTGATGCATTAAGATAAGGACACTACTGAGAACTCATTGTGCTTCTCCTAGCCTTCTTTATTTCATACAATCCCTTTCATTAAATTACCCATTTATTTTAATTTTTTTCAACATATGATCCAAAAGTCCAAAACAAAGTGAATGTCATACTTCCACTAGAATAATGATAACTTAACAATTTGATCGTTAAGTTTCAACTTGTGAGTAAATATCCACCCTCTAACACCTCAATCCCCACTGTATATGTTCTTTGAACAACATGGGCAATTAACAAACCTGTGGTTTCAATAACAATATGGTCAAAATTGTCACATTTTTTCCTAGCCAACTCCAACAGCATTTTAACTAAATCTCCTCGGACAGTGCAGCACAGGCAGCCATTGTTAACCATGATAATGTCTTCACTCACAGAAGAATGACTAGCAACCAATGATCCATCAATATCAACCTCACCAAACTGCATTTACAACAATGAGACAATTTCACGAATAACTGTAAAACCATATTATAAAGGCAGATCCTCTAAAATACTCCATGGGCTCAAATTCTCCCCCTACTTCACAATTACTCCAAATAAACAACATGTTTGGTAATCTTTTTAATTAAAACATCGCATTGTTGATTGTGCAGTGTATCATTGTCATTAGAAAAAGCTACTAATGCTGTGCTGTCATAAGTTATATAGACCAAAATAATTGTCACATATCAGTATTAGCAACAGATTACTCCTAATTCAAAATTTGGTGGAATTACCGAAATTAAATATTGTCATATAAACTTGAAAATGCCATAATCTAATTCCATGGAACTTGTTGTTACATAGAAAATAAGAATACCACAGAATTATTGCAAAATTACATAGGCAGGTCAAACTCGATACCTCATTTTCAATGACAGCTATCCGCTTGCCATGTTGCGATGTGAGAATATGATTCAGGAGAGTAGTCTGCATTACAAAAAACTCAGTTATAAACTATTCCATTGGTAATAAAAAATAATAATACTTGAAATGAAAAAAAAAAAAAAAAAAAAAGTAAAACACGTATCTGTACATTATCTCCAAATAATACCTCAAGAATATAGTGATAAAATAAACTCATCTTAAACTTGACAAATGCTACAGCTAAGGAAGAGCAAATAGGAAATTTTTAACCCTTTTATTTTACACTTTACTCTTAAAAACCGTTATATTTCATTATTGAAATAACACAAGTTACTGCAGCGACTTTTGCTGCTCTTAACAGTTTGTGTTGGGTTCTGTTAGTGCTAGGTGTATCTCAGCCTGTTAGTTCAGTTACTGTTAGTTGCTGAGCTGTAATCTGTTAAGTTTGTTTTAGATTTTTATGCTTCAGGTTGTGCTGGCACCTCTGTAAACTCCTCTCTTTCTGATGCAGAGAGTCATAATCAAGAAAAACATCAGAAACTCAACAGAGAAATGCTCTCATTTTCTCTTCCTCCTTCGCCCTCTCTCTCTATATATATACACTTACTTTTCTTGCAATTTTATATCCTTTTCTATGATATTTCCGTACCAAAACAACAACAAAAGTTAAAAAACAAAAATTGAAGAAAAATGGGAGGGTGGGGAAAGGAGCACCTTTCCAGAGCCAAGAAAACCAGTAATCACGGTAGCTGGAACGCGATTATCAAGGGAGAGCGCAGCAGCACCAGCAGGCTCATCGAGATTGTGGTTTGGCGCTGAGACGATGCCCCTGAAGCTTCCAGAATAAGGGTTATGAAAATTACGAGCGTGAGATTCTCGCAAAACGAAGGAATGAAAAGCCCGAGAAGAATCTTGAGCGGGAGATTGAAGACGTCGCAAAAGGGTTTTGGCAGTGGTTCTTAGAGTGATGCATCTAGTCGCCATTTTTGTTCCACGAGAATCACCATTCACCAGCAGTTAGTGGAAATGCTTAAACCCTAACCAGGGGTTTATGTTTGCTGGTGTGTAAAACTTATTCTGCTTTTCTTTTCTTTTTTTCTTTTTTATAAGAGTGTTTCAATAATTTTTATAAGAGTAAATACCTTCTTCGGTCCTCACCAAATTTTACGATACCCGCTTTAGTCCCTAGCAAATAAAAAGGTTATTCGTGATTTTTAAGAAATTCAAAATGGACACATTTTAGTCATTTTGAGGGACTAATGTGAATCTTTTTTGAATTTGTGAAGACCACGATTTCAACTAAATGGGTTCATTTTAAATTTCTTAGGGACCACGAATAGCTTTTTTATTTGCTAGGGATTAAAGAGGGCATCGAGAAATTTACTGAGGACCAAAAATGATGTTTACTCTTTTTATAATTGATTAACTTTTTTTTGTACAAATAATTGCTGAACTTTTAATAAATGGGTTTTTGACCATAATAATTCCAAGATAATAACTTGTTACCGGTGTAAGTCATTTGCCAAACTATTTACTCATGTAATGCAAAAAGACATGCAGGTCTCTAGTGCGTGTTAAGACGTGCGCATCAACCAGAAGTGCGACATACGTGAGGACACACAAACACGTGCACACTAGGACACCACGTTGTTAAGAGTCTCGCACCCTGTACATGTGCATCTCTATCATTGAACACACTGCAACTAGATACGAGTCTAAGGCGCGCTTACCTTAGATGTGTGTTCCTCCAAATTTTGACATGTGGTAGTAACGTGGATGTTAGATTGACTAACCTCAAGTCATGGTACCTGTTATGGACTGGATCCATATTCTAACAATCCTATTACTAGTAAGATTGGATAGGAATATCACAATCATATAATCTAGAGAAGATCAAGGGATAAGATTCTTATCCCTCATCAATCAAGGCAGATTTCATATCAACTGGGAGATCTCAAAGGTCCAAGCCTATGAAGGTAATCCTTATAAATAAAAGGCTAAAGACCCAAGGTACACAGTATGAACTCATTTACTACTTCTGCCCACACTGTGCACACACTCACATCTCGGCTATAAGCTTATTACTTGTGCGCAGTGAGTGGGATATTGGCTATAAACCAACCAAGGTACCTATCTATAGGGTATCTCTGAGCACATACCAATGAGGTATCCTTATACGGTTCAACAGAATCGAATAGTACCCATGCGCGTTGTTGGCCTTGCTAAAGAGTATGCAAGAGATGCGCAAGTTTACGCAGCTACAAGTAATATAGGGCATATTTGAGACTCCAATATCGTTCCCACAAGGATCTTTAACGTTTTTGACTTGACTAAAATTTACAATTACTTAAAACTGAATTTCTAACTTAAAAGAAAACTATGATTAATGTTGATAAACAAAAAAATAAAGGGATTATATTTTCTTATGCAACAAAAGATATTTATCTTATGTTGCATTCACAATTTTATGTTGATCTCATTCCATGAGAAAAGAGAGGGAAAATTGAAGTGGGACCCATATCTTTTTGAGTGTGTAGGAGAGACTTGTTGTCTCATGTGACATGAGATTAATATTTCCTAAAAATAAAAAAAAACACACAAAAGATTAAAAGTTCATTTGGGGTTTTCTAATTTAGATTTAAAAATAATTTCATAATGCAAACAATGGAAGAAATAAAATAAAATGAGAAAATTATTTTTGGACTTTTCAAATTGATTATGTTTTGCAAGAATTACTAAGAAATTTTACTGAATCAAAAGCAAACAAATTTGACAAGGTTTTAAGAAATCTAGTTAGAAAAATGGGTTGAGTTCTGATTCCTTCCCCACAGCCCCTAGTGTCCAATTGCTTAACAAGATTCTTTCACAATTCTTTTTCAATTGGCAGACTACTGTGAATTTGTAATCCCATAAAAATCATTTTCCCTTTTGTTCTCACACAACTTATCCCTAAACAGGTGAGACTTATGAGCTTGAAGCTCATGTCCTTTTGGCCACATGGAGGAGTAAAAATCATCTCTGGATTACTCCCTCAAATAATCCCTTATTTGAGTCCATGAGCTCAACTCATTTTCCAGAGAAATTTATTTCTCGATAGACTTCTCTTAAGCAAACATATTTCATACGGCCAAAATGGAATAACATTCAAACATACAAAATCAGAGTTGAACTAAAGAAATTACACATTAATACCAGAAAAGCAATCAACAATAGTCACTGTGGTCAGGGTCTCAGTCACCCAACCCTTCAAAGGTTTAGCTCATACCCATAAGGATTGAGTTACAAAAACAAAAATGAAATGAAAATTACAAAGAAAATAAAGTGCAGAAAACTTAATCTACAACACGAGCGTTATTCACAGAAAATATCCTCGGTACTCTATAGACATATTCCAATCCAAACAAAGTAGCATCTATTACAGTACCAGAAAACACAAAAATAAAACTAAATAAAAGATAGAGAAGAAGAGAGCCCCCACTAGGGGTGTAAATGGGCCAGGCTGGCCTAGCCCGGCCTACAGCCCAGCCTACGATGAGCCTGGACTGGACTGGCCTTTATACATAATAGAATAGGCTTAGGCTATTAAGAGAGCCTTTTTATTAAATAAGCCATAGGCCAATTAAGTCAAGCCTGGCCTAAAGCCTTGTAGGCTGGCCTACTTAATTTATTAAAATAAAATAATTTTTTTATTCTAGGTGGCTAACTGGCTAAGCACTTTCAAGTCCAACTCTAATTTCATTTCGTGCAGCGCCGCTTCTCATCTTCTTCTTACGTCTTCAGTGTCTTCTTCTCGTTCTCAATTCTCACGCTCATTTCTCAGTTTCCTCCTTCTCTTCGACGTGCTTGTAAGTTGTCGCCGGCCATTTCCAACAAAATTTGTTTAGGTACGCTCTCTCTCTCCCCTCTCTTTCTCCTAATCTTTTTCTTTCTCTCCCAAAAGCCCACTTTCGTGATCTTCTTTATGGTACACAGAACTTGAAGAACCATCATTTTTCTGTGTGCGTGCGAAATCGAAGAAGCAACAAGGTTGAGTGTACTCCTTCTCTCTATTTTCTTCAACGGATTTTACAGATTGTGGGTAAGAACTTTTCTTCCCTCTTCTATTTTTTTGGATTTTATGGTATAAAGATAAAAATTAAATGGGGAGTGCTGCATGTAGGGGAGAGACAGAGAGTGGTGTCTGTCATCGGTTATTGTTTGGTGTACTTTACTAAAATCAATTTCCCTCTGTTTGGAATGAGTTTCTGCACTTTTCTCCGTGACTCTCTACACTCTGTACTCTGACATTCATCATAGAGCATGAAAATGCAGTAATCAGGAATCACAAACCAGCATATATCCATTTTTTAAAATTAAATTGAAAATGTATTGTGATTTTTACTAACTAAAACTTAAGAGTAGAAATACTCTTATTTACTTACTTTATAGACAAATTAATTTAGAGTACGTTGATATTAGGATTTAAGATTTTAACTTGGTCTGTATATTACAAATCCATGTTAACAAATATTTAAATATGGCATCTGCATTTTTTTGGCATAACTCATCTAAAGTTTTCTCGCCTTTATGTTCCTATCTTAATTCAATTTTCATTATGGTTGTTTTTGCTGCATGTGGATGGCACTGACTAGAGAGTAACAGCAAGCTTGGTTGACCATTCAATTGTTGTTTATCTGTTTTGTACATAGTTGATGTCATATTTTTATTGTTGGTTTTTTACAACTAAATGATCACTGATTCAATGCAAGTCTGCAACCTTCACTGAATCATTAATGTTTACATAGTCTAATCTCCTCCAAATTGGTTAGAAGAGGCCCCAGATTTGCTTCAGGATTTTTTTTAGCAGATCTTGTTTTTGTTCACTGAAATTTGTTTAGTTAAACCTTCACATCTAAAGGCTTTCCTGGCTATATATATAGTTTTGTAATTTGGGTTTTTTTTTTGGATAGCTGTAATTTGGGTTTCTATTTGGTGCTGCCAATAAATATATATGTCTCATTATATATGTCTCATCTCTCACCAGGTTTGTGATTGCTCTTTTTTTTGTACCATTTTTTATAGGCATAGAAAATGGACTCTACTCCAAGTGCAAGTGGTAATGTTATTGTTAGCGTACCAAGTGACCCCAATCAACCTTAAGTAAGGAATGAACAAGAAGAAGAAGTAACCGATAGTGCTATAGCTGCTACTGATTCTGCAGTTGCAGCAGATTCTGCAGCTGCATCAGATTCTGCAGCTGCTGGTGATAGTGAAAATTCAGTCATAGAAAAAAAAAAGGCGAAAAACATCAACTGTTTGGAATGAGTTTCATGAAGTTACTCTCCCCAATGGTCAATGAAAAGCAGTTTGCAATTATTACAAAGCTAAATTTGCTACGAGTGGGTGTGGAGCTAGCACTAGCCACTTGAGGAGGCATTCAGAAAGTTGCTTGAGAAGGAAAATAGACCAATCACGACTAAAGCAGTCAACAATATCATTTCAACCTACAAGTTCTGCCTTGAACCCTTTCCTTACGCCAGGAGGTAAGTATTCTAATCTAAAGATGAGAGAAATTATTGCTACTGTTATGATGGTACATGAGTATCCTTTTAGCATTGTAGAGGACACTGTTTGGATGTGGGCTTTTAAGTTTGCAAATCCTGATTTTGAGAAAGTTTCACGTCAAACAATAAAAAGTGATTGCATGGCAATATATCAGGCAGAAAAGAAGTGTCTTAAGGCTGAATTAATGAATGTGAATAGGATTAGTATAACCACTTATATGTGGAGATCTAATCACCAAGTTGCTAAGTATATGGTCATCACTGGCCATTTTATTGATTCAGAATGGAAATTACAAAAAAGAGTGTTAAGTTTTGTCAAAGTGCCACCTCCAAGACGTGGGGTTGATGTTGCTGATGCAATATTCAAATGTCTGGAATCATGGGGGATTGAAAATAAGGTGTTTTCCGTGTCTGTTGATAATGCTGCGTATAATGATGTTTGCATAAGAAATATCAAGAGCACATTGTCAAGAAGCAACAATT